CCAAATTAACAATAAGAGCACATTTTGACTATTGAGTTTTCCATATGAACAATCAGGGCACATTTTGACTACTGTGTTTTCCGTATGAACAATAAGGGCACATTTTGACTACTGAGTTTTCCAAATTAACAATAAGAGCATATTTTGACTACTGAGTTTTCCATATGAACAATAAGGGCACATTTTGACTACTGAGTTTTCCAAATTAACAATAAGAGCTCATTTTAACTACTGAGTTTTCTGTATGAACAATAAGGGCACATTTTGACTGCTGAGTTTTCCAAATGAACAGTAAGAGCAGAGGAAAAAAAAGAATTATAGCTTTTAAAAGAAAGCATTAAATCTGGCCTTGAAAAGCATATCTTACACAACACTCTGTGGCTGGCCAGTGAAGATCTCTTGTTCATTGTTCTGTCTGTGACTCAGAGTCAGATTAGATAAGATAATCGTTGTTAAAAAATATAAAATTATAAAATATTGCATCTGAATTTGAAATACTTTTGTTACTTGTTGCCGATTATTCATAACATTCCCATTTTTTGTACATTCCCAAAATTTATAACATTCCCAGTTTATTGTGTATTCCTAACTTCAGTTACATTTTTGTCAGGTGACAATAAATTATGATATTCATGATGGCTGCATAATAGCTAAAGATGATCTTCCACTTGGTTTTCTTTCTATTGTCTTGAAAATGTTGATGTATAAATATTGAATTGGCATGTTAATAATATGCACTCTTGTCTCACACCTCTTTTTTATAGCTTTAAAATGTGATGTATTATTTTCTAATCTAACTTGCTTTTGTTGTTGGTAGTAAAAATTAATTGTTATTCTATTGTCTTTGCCATAATTTCATCTAGGCTATAAATATCTCTATTTAATTGCTTTTTATGAAACATGGACCATTTTTGTTTTTGGAAGCCTGCATACTTTTTTCCGCTGTTGTATCAAGAGCTGACTGTTCAGAGGTGGTGGCGAACTACTGAATATGAAATTGCCTAGTAAATCCAAACAGTCAAAAAAATGCCAGAATTGGTTTTGCAACATTCTGAAAGATATAACTAACTTTTTGTATTATTTTCTGTTAGTCTCAAATAAAATATTGTTTCTTGTACTCTAATTTCTGTCAAAAACTTATTCTGAAACTTCACTGTCTGTTTCATTTTGTAGCCAGTCAAGAGCATTGCACAAAAAATGAACTCCGTAGCTCCAGTTGCAAAGGGAACTGACTACATAGGATCGCCAAAGCACCTACACTTGAGAAATTAACAAGCATCGAAAACTTTACCTATGATCTCAGAATGCAATGTTAATAGCAACCACTTTGCCACATAGATTCTCGTGAATTAAATTTTGTTGAAATCAGGGATTAAACAAGGGACTTCAGTGTCTTCTGTCTAATACTCTTCTAGCTGAGTTTTTTCAGCCATACACTTCGGTGCATAACTTGGGAGTTTTAACTACTCCAGTATCTTATAGGGATAGTCATTGATATGTTGTCTCTGCCAGACATTTCATTTCTTAGCAACTTCTCTATACAGCTGACTTAATAATGATAATACTAGGAACTTCATTGTTGGTGATTATTACTTTATTGCATCTGTAACCATCAAACATTTGTTATATAAATTCTGCCCATCTTTGCTACATATCATTCTCAATTAGATCTTTCCTTATTTATCACATTTTGTCACTATCTAGTTGAATTGCTGATATATTTGTTTTTTTTTAAATTCCTTATTTCCCCCCTCAAACTTTCAAAGCTGTATATAGTTTCTGTAAACTGGCAAGAAATTTATTTTTGATATGTTTTATGAACAGAAACTTATATTCAGGCAATTTTTTTAATAATGCAGCTATTGTTATTTGCTTGAGAAACTAATTTTCTCTCTAAATTGTTTTTTTTTTAAAAACTGGTACCCCATGATTTCCTTTTAAGAAATAAGTGAAAATTGTAATGCATAATGGAAATGAATTACACAGAAGGAAAAAGAGATACAGAAAGTTAAAGATAACTATTAAGCCACATTAGTTCTGTGATTAAATATTTGAAGTTTGTGGGTTCGATTCTGCATCTAGGTAGATATTTTTTGATAATTGTTCTGGGCTCCTTGGTCAGTCCATCGAGTTCCGATCGGCCTATAAAAATATAGGTCTAGCACCATATGCCCGATGTGCCAGTGGTAGGAAAAGGGTCTTTACTTTAAGACGTTATCATTACAAATGCAGCAGAAGATACGTAACGTAACATAGATGAAGTTTAGATGAAATTCTATATTCTTAAGAAGAAGCACTAATAATCATACAGATCAGATGGATATTCTAATAATACAGGGTGTTCCATAAGTTTCCATGCATTAAAACAATAAACGTATCACCCACACATAACTCTGGCTGTGCTTTTAGGCATTCTTCAGCAGTAGATGGCACATTTCAAAATGTGTTTTCAAAACAATGGTAGTCATGTGGAGCATACTGTATAAATAAAATTGATTTTTGTTTCATTAAAAAGAATGTTTTTTATTTCTATGAGTGGAAACTTATGTGACACATAGTAAATCGTTGAAACTATTGAACTGTGTGTGTTTTTTTTCTTTAATGTCCTCTTTAGTACCCTAAAGATCACATCTAGATACAGACTATCTTAACAGAGATGTCAGTTGAATCCACTGGCACCGTATTTTTTTTAAAAACTGTTTTACAAATAAATGTTTAATAAATAATGAACATATACTGCTGAGTGTGAGGAGCGGCTGGGTTCGGACCCTTGGTCAGGTTGTGAGTTTTTTCTGTCGGGGGCAAAATAAAATCCTCACCTGCACAGTACGTGGAAACAGTATGTGGCCTAAATACTCAGGCTCAAAGACCCCCCCCCCCTTTTCCAACCACCCACCTACACCGCAAAAATAGTAGTAGGCAGTTTTTTTGTTTGCTTTTTTTTTTTTTTTAACTGCCGAATGTCTTGCAACACCATGGCCATTATTTGTACAGGTTTATTTTTTTCTATTTGTAAATAGTTATTAATTTGCTTTTGTATAAATTCATAACTGCTTTATTTTCACAGAGTGTTTATTTGTTGCATCAAAATACATGATAATTTTATTCATCATAATTAGTATTAATTATAGTTTTCATATATGTTTGTCAGTTGACGAGTCTAAATAAATTCAGTTCAATCTAGTTTAGTTCTTACGTATTTTATGTTAACTTTTTTACTATCAGAATAGATTTTTAAAAAAATGTCTTCTTCTACATTCACCTTTGTCTTGTGGTTTACAGCTACGCTTTGATATCTACACCTTTTGGTTCATTATATCTAATTTGAGCAAACTCTTAATTAGTTGCCTCTTATGACATGCTTAATTGGGGGGGGGGGGGGGGGGGGGAACTCCATAACCCACACAGGAATAGGTATTGATAAGAAATACACACACACACACACACACACATATATATATATATATATATATATATATATATATGATAGCTTTCTATTTGATTATAAATAAATCTGGTTCTTGTTCCTAACTAAACAAAGTAAGGCTTATGGCAAAACCTCTACAACCAGGCCAGAAATTTCAGTCTGTGCTGTTGCAGTCAAAAGCGGGTAGCATGCAAACTCTTCCTTCATCTAATCCATTGATGTGATCAACAGTAGCCCATCTATTGATAAGACTTCAAACTGTCGTAAGCAGCGCATGTACATTCTCTCATGTAAAAGTATTTTCATGCATAAGATGTACTCAGACAGTCAACCTTTCATAGCAAAGTTCACCATTACCCGGAGAAGCAGTCAGGCAGTGGCCTTCCTCTATCATTTCCCAGAAGACTAGTTATGATTACAAGTAAGCAGACAGACCTCACAAGCTGACAGTACATCTAGAGAAGCACAACTGAGGAAACATCTCAACAGATAGACCTCACAAGCTGACAGTACACCTAGAGAAGCACAACTGAGGAAACATCCCAACAGACAGACTTCACAAGCTGACAGTACACCTAGAGAAGCACAACTGAGGAAACATCCCAACAGACAGACCTCACAAGCTGACAGTACACCTAGAGAAGCACAACTGAGGAAACATCCCAACAGACAGACCTCACAAGCTGACAGTACACCTAGAGAAGCACAACTGAGGAAACGTCCCAACAGACAGACCTCACAAGCTGACAGTACACCTAGAGAAGCACAACTGAGGACACATCCCAACAGACAGACCTCACAAGCTGACAGTACACCTAGAGAAGCACAACTGAGGACACATCCCAACAGACAGACCTCACAAGCTGACAGTACACCTAGAGAAGCACAACTGAGGAAACATCCCAACAGACAGACCTCACAAGCTGACAGTACACCTAGAGAAGCACAACTGAGGAAACATCCCAACAGACATCTCACAAGCTGACAGTACACTTAGAGAAGCACAACTGAGGAAACATCCCAACAGACAGATCTCACAAGCTGATAGTACACCTAGAGAAGCACAACTGAGGAAACATCCCAACAGACAGACTTCACAAGCTGACAGTACACCTAGACAAGCACAACTGAGGAAACATCCCAACAGACAGACCTCACAAGCTGACAGTACACCTAGAGAAGCACAACTGAGGAAACATCCCAACAGACAGATCTCACAGCCTAGCTGGTTAAAGTATGAAAAAGGATTTCAAAAGGTCATCAGGTATATGTCAGCTGTAATAAATATCATTAAACAATGTATATTTATTAAATGAAAAATATAATATATAAAATTATATTTAATATTTAATGATGTTTTTAATTGTCAAAGAGACATAAAAAATACAGCTGATAAAACTCATAATTGCGAAGAACTTTAAAATAAAGTCTATTGAGACAACAATTAAATATAAAAAATATTACTCCAGTCCTCAAAACAGTTAAATCCTTGGACAGTTTATTTTGAACTGGGTGCCTGATATGTCCATTTAACAGATGTTTGCTACACCGTCACAATATGGAAACTTGATCATTATGTGTAGGACAATAAATTAATGTCATAACAGCCATCAACCTGCAATAGATTTAAAAAGAAAAAAATATTGCTATTAATTACAACAGACATGTTAGCCTTGCACCCTAAAGGTCATCGGTTCATTTCATGAACTGCGGTGTTCAAATAACGAGTGCAATTTTTATAGAAATTCCTGTGGGCTGTCAATGGATCTATGGCACGGTTATTCATCTGGCAGCATGTGGGCCAAATTAGGCCCCCAGAGGCTTAGCACATAGCCCGCTGATCCCTGCCAATTGTATTGCGTTGATGACCTTTTTACACTGCAGCTAGGGCCTCTGGCCTGTGATAATCCAAATTTTCAACTTTGTGGCCAATGAAGCGTGATCTATGGAGTTCATGCTTTGTGCGGCACTTACAGTAGGCAGCTCCCTTCTGCTGACAGAGATGGAACCATACTGGATAAAAGCCGGAGTCATGATGTTGATCCTCTCGACTTCAACTCTTTAAACCATCTTCCCATATGATAAAGAATATGTATGCTGTATGATTTTCTCTGCAGAGTACATTTTCTGCAATATTTGTACAAACCCCTCAAATACCTTTTTGTCTTGTTTCCCTATTTGGCTTCTAATTGCTCATGTACAACTGTCAGTCAATTCCTTTAAACATGCTCTTTCAGACAGTGAAATATAGCAGAACACCTCTTTTGTGTGGTTAGTACAAATCAGTAAAACAGCAAAGAATATATATATTTTATATAATTGAATTTACCTATCAAATATTTAAAAAAAACATGATTAGCTTACAACATAATGCCAACAAAACGCCACAATAAACATAAACAAAATATTAAAAAGGTGTATATTTTTAATCCATTCATTGTCTTGCAGTGCCATTTTATGGCACGTAGGGCACACAATCTATTTCTCCACTCCATTCCACCCTGTGCAATCACCTTGATATCATGGATGGAATCTAGTCCAGCACCTTTGGCCTTTCTCATCAACATTCGCCTTAGAGTTTCTCTTGGACTCCCTTATTTCCTCAACCTCAATCCATCTGTTTCCCATTTCAGTGTGTTTGATGATTTTCTTTTTATCTCTTTCTATTTCCCATTTCAGTGTCTTTGATGATTTTCTGTTCATCTCTTTCTATTTCCCATTTCAGTGTGTTTGATGATTTGTTTTTATCTCTTTCTATTTCCCATTTCAGTGTGTTTGATGATTTTTTTTATCTCTTTCTATTTCCCATTTCAGTGTGCTTGATGATTTTTTTAATCTCTTTCTATTTCCCATTTCAGTGTGTTTGATGATTTGTTTTTATCTCTTTCTATTTCCCATTTCAGTGTGTTTGATGATTTTCTGTTCAGCTCTTTCTATTTCCCATTTCAGTGTGTTTGATGATTTTTTTTAAATCTCTTTCTATTTCCCATTTCAGTGTGTTTGATGATTTTTTTTTATCTCTTTCTATTTCCCATTTCAGTGTGTTTGATTATTTTTTTTTATCTTTTTCTATTTCCCATTTCAGTGTGTTTGATTATTTTTTTTATCTCTTTCTATTTCCCATTTCAGTGTGTTTGATGATTTTCTGTTCAGCTCTTTCTATTTCCCATTTCAGTACCTGTTTTATGATTTTTCTGTTGACCTCTTATCAGAATGTGTCCAACATATTGCTGTTGTATAACTATTGATAGCAGTAGTTGCCCAGTCATTTCCCTTATTTTTTCATTAATGCATTGAACTTGCATTCCATGTCTTTAGTGGTTCTCCAATTTTCCCTGGCATATGTTAGAACTAAAACAATATTTATGTAGTAAAAAGTCAATCTGCTGCTGCTTCCTCCTCATCTTCAGAATTCAACCATGCTTGTATAACAGCTGTGGTCAACTATGCCTGTATAACAGCTGTGGTCAACTATGCCTGTATAACAGCTGTGGTCAACTATGCCTGTATAACAGCTGTGGTCAACTATGCCTGTATAACAGCTGTGGTCAACTCTGCCTGTATAACATGTGGTTAACTATGCCTGTATAACAGTTGTGGTCAACTATGCCTGTATAACAGTTGTGGTCAACTATGCCTGTATAACAGTTGTGGTCAACTATGCCTGTATAACAGTTGTGGTCAACTATGCCTGTATAACAGCTGTAGTCAACTATCCCTGTATAACAGCTGTGGTCAACTATGCCTGTATAACAGCTGTGGTCAACTCTGCCTGTATAACAGATGTGGTTAACTATGCCTGTATAACAGTTGTGGTCAACTATGCCTGTATAACAGTTGTGGTCAACTATGCCTGTATAACAGTTGTGGTCAACTATGCCTGTATAACAGTTGTGGTCAACTATGCCTGTATAACAGCTGTAGTCAACTATGCCTGTATAACAGCTGTGGTCAACTATGCCTGTATAACAGCTGTGGTCAACTCTGCCTGTATAACAGATGTGGTTAACTATGCCTGTATAACAGTTGTGGTCAACTATGCCTGTATAACAGTTGTGGTCAACTATGCCTGTATAATAGCTGTGGTCAACTATGCCTGTATAACAGCTGTGGTCAACTATGCCTGTATAACAGCTGTGGTCAACTATGCCTGTATAGCAGTTGTGGTGCCGATTACAACTGCAGAAACTAGACATGGTGGGTGTGATTATATTTACATTATTCAATTGTTAATATTATCTGGGGTGAAAAGAATCACATTTTTGGGGGGGTCATTGTGATGACACTGTCTGGTCATTATAAACTCACAACGTCACTTTGCTCGACATAAATATGTTCACAAAACCATACATTTCTTTGTCAAAAAGAGTAAAAACAGTTCATTCTTTGCTCCATCTGTATTTAGTCATTAAAACATCTATTTCAATAAAAAGCATATTTTCATGGGTTTGAAATGAAAACAAAAACAAAACCAAAAAAAACAGTGGTCGAGTGAGGGGCTGCGATGATGAAAGAGCTAGCAGTCTTGCCTGTCTGCTAGGTGGTCATAGGTTTCCACCCCCTGGATATTTATCAAAACTGACCAAGACCGCACATTTCATCTGCTTATTCTTCTCCTCTAGTTTCTTATAACGGTAGAGTTTCTGAGAATTATATTTTTTTTTAAAACTATTTTTGTTCTTTAATGGAAAAAGGTTATTTTTTAAAGATTCTTTTGGGGTGACATGAAAGGTTTTTTTTTTAAGGTGGTGGGCGGTTTGTGTTGTTTGCAGCTAGGCTATGAAATCTGCACCTTTCAACCCAACAGATCCCATTTCAGAAAATCCTTAATTAGGTTGCTTTTTTTAAATATACTTGTTAAAGAGCAGTAGGTCTACCCTACCCCGCCCCCACTCCACATACACACACTCACACACCACCACACATACACACAGACTCTTTCTCTCTCTCTCTTTCTCTCTCTCTCTCTCTCTCTCTCTCTCTCTCTCTCTCTCTCTCTCTCTCTCTCTCTCTCTCTCTCTCTCTCTCTGTGTGTGGCCCTGGAACACACACGGGGATGATAGAGTAGCAACTTTTAAACTTAGCTAATACACCTGCTCTAGGGACTTACATCATATCTCCCCATGGATTGTTGTGTTTGACTGGCTGCCGCTTCCTCTCCCAAGGCCCACAACTGTTGCAGGCCAGATGAAAGTGCATTCAAGTCTGGGACACCCTGATTGGAAAGATAACGTCTTTGTTATATCTTATCTAGTTAACAACTTTTACTGTAGTCTGAAAACAATTATGTACATCATTTTTACTCATAAATCCCATCGAAAGACCCACATTTAAGATCAGAAATGACTTCATATGGTTCAGACACTTCTGTATTCATCCTTTAAAAAGCTGTGTTTTACAGCTAGGCTGTGATATTTGTACCTTTCCAACCAATGCATCTCATTCAGTAAATCGTTAGCTAGCACCTTTTACAGCATGCTTGATAAGGGACAGTGGGTTTATTCTTCTTTTTTCCCCACAAAATTATAGTCCTAAAACCCACACAGAGAGCAAGTAATGCACAAATACAAATGGGAAGAAGCATGAACAGAGCTGAAATCATCAACGCTGTGCGAACTGGGTTGGGGGATAATGTTGAATCTCTGACACCAACATGATTTTCTGACCAAGGAGTTAAGCTTGGTGGAGCACATCTATGCCGTCTTTGAGGTAAAGACAGGAGATACGATACTATAACCAACTTTTAATGAAAACTGTCAGCAGAGGCACTTTTGACTGGCTACTGCATCGCAGGACTGAGCACGCATAGGAATCCTCAGTGTACACAGATGTTGTTTGTGATAACACAACATAGCAGAGAGAAATTTAAACTATTTGTCTTTATATGATAAGTTAATTTTTCTGAAAGAAAACAATTTCCTCATGTTAATTAACTCAAACTGTACCATAATCCACATCAAGTAGAGCAATATTTGAGAAGAAAAGCTTGAAAAATGAATAATTTAAAGATACACACAAATTTAGTAATATTCTTATACGACAGTTATTGTGTGTTTGCTTTCCCGGCAACTCTCTATATTTCTTCTTGTTCTGCTGCTTTTAATTTTCCAAAGGTGCAAAGGCCCTCAACCAAACTCAGTTCTTTGTAGATTTATTCATAATTGGATGAATTTTATAGCTAGTGTGTACATTTTGTATTGACCACTTACTTAAAAGTGGCGGTGACTGTGGCTTAAGTACTGGAAATGCAGTTTCACACAGCCAGCCTACCATGGTTCGAATTCAGCTGCAGACAGTTTCGTAATGTGTATGTCTTGCTTATGACTTCAGCAGAGTGGCTTTTATTATTAACTGTAATACACCACTTGGTTAATTTATCTGGAACTGGATCCACACCCAACCCTTCTCCTTTCTCATCCAGGACTGGGACCGTCAATGGTGCAGATTCCTTTATGTTGCTACCTAATATGTGACCTGGCATATTGAAATGGCACTTTTCTGGGATCACAAGTATGGTTTTTGTAATGTATGTGGCTTGGTCACTAATTAAGTTTTATAATTTCTACATACCAGCTTTGATTCAGCTGAAGGCAATTTGGCAGCAGATAACTTTATTGATTTCAAAAATGGTATGAGTACAGGAAATTCAGGGGCAATAATATGTAGCAAGTCCTTTGCAGAATGTTGCTCTCAGTCTGACTGAAAGAAGCACAGTCCCATGACAGCTGTCCTGCCCCATGCACTTTCCTACCCAAGATGTCACTCATATCTTGACTCAAAAATCTTCATGCTGATCGGTCCCTCTTTCCTGGTACCATTCTTTGTGCTATTATTCATTCTAATCACCTATGGCATTTGATATGGCCAACATATTTCAGTTTCTGACACAAGTTGCTGTTTATAAGCCAAACTTCCTTCATCATTTAGGGAGTCAGTATTTCTTTTCTCCTTATTACATTGTCATTACAGCTCAAAAGCCTCCTATTTTCTTCCTTAATAACTGAGTCCACGACTCACATCCATTTGTTGCTACAGGAAAGATGCATGCGCTCAGATCTTTTGATTTCCTTGCTGGTGCTTAACCTGAAGATTTTAATGCTGTTTCATATTTGCATTGCTATGGCCATCCTCCTTTTGACTTGGTTGAACAGTCTCCATTGCTATTTATTATGGAACCTAGATATTCAAAGTTTGTGAAATTTTTAATTTCTTCAACATTTATTGTTATTTCTGGGTGACAGGCAGTTTTGCCTATGGTCATGATTTTTGTTCTCTTTAAATTTAGGAACAGGGTGGAATCTTCAGTGTTTTTTGTACACACAGGATTAAATGTACTACTCGCTTTACGCCGTTTGAAAGGAGGCATAGCAAAGTTACAGAATAGGTTGCTTTCAGTTATGAGCAGATCATAACTGTCATAAGCCTGGTCATTTTTGTTATCTTCTTTTCCTTCAGCATTCCAAGCCCTTGAGGTTCAATGCAGCAGATATCCCCCGCCTCCACTCATTTCTCAGATTGATCTTCTCTTTCCAGTTGGTATGACCAACTGTTTGTAGATCTCTTTGGACATTATCTCTCCATCATCTTCTTGGTCTGCCACATGGTCTACGACAAGTCATCTCCCTTGTGTATACAGTTTTTACCTCTCTGTCATCTGAGATTCTTTCAATATGCCTCAGCATTTTCAACCTGTTAGCTTTGATGATGCCAATGATCAGTGGAGATTTTAACAGATTATGAATTTTATGTTTCTCCAGCTGCTTGTTATTCATGATATAAACTTCTAAACGTCCTGGAAACCCATTACTTCTCAGAAAAAAAAGTTAAGTAAATATCCCTTTAGGCGCATCGAGCATATGTGATTACTTCTCATGATACTCCACAATTTCTGAAGCTGGACCCAATCGAAGGGCTTGCTATAATCGATAGCAAACTACTAAAAGTAAAATTGCCTAGTAATCCCACAAACTGCCAGCAAATGCTAGAACAGGTTTATGACATCCTGTAAAGGATATACAGTTTTTTTTTAATAGCTAAAAAATACTCACGTGCATCTCTTTCTTTTCAGATTTGTCAGTGACATTTTCCAACAGACAGGCTGGTAAAGATGAAAGCTGTGTTCCCTATAGGAAGACAATCATGATTATTGCAAACAGGAAATGCACATTTAGTTTCATCTTTGTTTAATATACTGTGTTACACACTCAAATGTGGTAATTGTAACAGACTCTGAAAGCATGCTGAGAAAGGTGAAAACAGGGATGTTTAGAGCAGAATGGCAAGCTTCACTGGAAAGGTCACGGGTAGTGAGAATACTTTGTATCTTTTCTCCAGGTAATACCAGCATGGTGGGGAATGACAAGGCAGATGTGGTCAAGGCCCTTTGGGAACAAGCAACAGAATCAGTAGAGAAAGAAGATTATTATGACCTGGAGAGAATGAGGCATCTGGGGGTAAACAGAGGGTCTGGCCGGCTCACTACACTCAGATGAAAGGCAAGATGGACATTTAACCAGATTGTGACCAGTACCATTAGTATTGGAACTCTGCGCTGGCTGCTGAAGATGAGCTGGCTGAGTGTAGTGAGCCGGCCAGACCCTCTGGTTACACCCAGGTGCCTCATTCTCTCCAGCCCATAATAGTCTTCTTTCTCTACTGATTCCCAAAGAGCATATATACCCTCAAATATTGTGTGTTATACCCTCAAATACTGTGTGTTAAACACTCAGATATAGTGTGTTATACCCTCAAATATTGTGTGTTATACCCTCAAATATTGTGTGTTATACCCTCAAAAACTGTGTGTTAAACACTCAGATATAGTGTGTTATACATTCAAATATAGTGTGTACAAGAGTGTATGGTGTGTTATTCACACAAGAATGCATGATTTGCTACAGACACAAGTTCAAGTTTGTTCTTTTTTTAATACAAACAAAAGTGTACGGTGAGTTATACAAACATATGTGTATGGTGAGTTATACAATCAAAAGTGTACAGTGAGTTATACAAATAAAAGTGTATGGTAAGATATAAAAACAAATGTGTGTGGTGAGTTATACTAACAAAAATGTATGGTGTCTTATACAAACAAGAGTGTTAGTCATTAGTTGAGGTACCAGTTTCTCTGCAGACAGGTTGCCCTAAAACTCCTCATTTCCTGTGCCAGTAGAAATCAAATAAAATGTCCTTCACTGTCCCATTATGTTGGTCCCAGTAAAATCTTGAAGCTTGCAAATGCATAAGGCAGCTTGCAGATGTGCCAACACTAACAGCCCCACACCAGAATTGCAGCTCACTGTTGATGCAAGCAGTCATTTATGAAAGACGGCATGGTACACGCAATATTGCACAAGTACATACCATGCCTGATGCTGACCACATCACCTATCTTGTGCCGATTGGTCTGTAAAATTTAGGTCTAGCCCTATATGCCTAAAGGCATGGAAAAGGGTCCTTGACTTTTTTTTTTACTTCACTTACATACCGTGCCGAACATTCAGACACCCACCAGTCAGTTCACACCACAACTGGTAAACACGAAGAAGAATCACAGAGCTAGGTTCGAGTTTCAGAACAGGTTAGAGAAAACATTGTTATGGCAAGTAATCACACTGGCCATCTTCTTCTTCATTCGCTCTTTTAAAGGGCAATGGGCACACTGTGTTGTGATTTACAGCTAAGCTGTGAAATCTGTGATCTTCTGCCTAACACGTCTGCTTCCAGTAAACCCCTAATCAGTTGCCCTTTACAACATACATGTTAGGGAAGTAGTGAGTCTACCACCCCCCTCTCCCTCCCCCCAAATGGGGTCTCAGAACCCACATGGGGAAGGATATGACTAGTGCAACAGACACCAGAAATGTGATCACTCACACTAGATGGTCTAAACAGCTTTAGATCTTCCACTTTAAACTCCTTCCATTGTGGAGATGGCTGGTGAAGGATGATTCTCAGTGATATCACATTATTCATGTCACACTGGAACTGTGGACGAAAGACAAAACAGATTCTCAGCGATATCACATTATTCATGTCACATTGGAACTGTGAAGAGAAGACAAAACAGATTCTCAGTGATATCACATTATTCATGTCATATTGGGACTGTGAAAAGAAGACAAAACAGATTCTCAGCGATATCACATTATTCATGTCACACTGGAACTGTGAAGAGAAGACAAAACAGATCCTCACTGATATCAAATTATTTGTATGGTACATACACATGTTGTAATTGTAACAGACTTTGAAAGCATGCTGAGAAAGGTGAAGACAGGGATGCTTCGAGCAGAGTGGTAAGCTTCACTGGGAAGGTCACGGGTTGTGAGCATACTTTTGATCTTTTCTCCAGGATATGCGGGTGTAGTGGGTTATGAACAGGCAGACAGATTGGCTGGATCTGCACCACTGGGTGGTGAATTGATACATGACAAGACAGATGTGGTCAAGGCCCTTTGGGAACAAGCAACGGAATAGGTAGAGAAACAAGATTATTATGGCCTGGAGAGAATAAGGCACCTGGGTGTAACCAGGGGGTCTGGCTGGCTCACTAAACTCATAGGAAAGGCAAGATAGACATATAACCAGATTCTGACCAGTACCATCAGTATTGCAACTCGGCATTGGCTACTGAAGATGAAGACAGAGCACACACGGGAATGCCCCGAGTGCTATGATGTCAATTCTTGACTCAACTTAACTCAAATTATTCTTGTCACAGTGAAACTGTGGAGAAAAGACAAAACAGATCCTCAGTGATATCACATTATTCATGTTACCGTGGAACTGTGGACACACACACACAAAAACAGAGCCTGACTGATATACAATTACATGTATTCATGTCACAGTGGAACTGTGGATAGAAGACAAAACAGATCCTTACTGATATCATATTTTTCATGTCACTGTGGAACTGTGGACAAAAGACAAAACAGATCCTCACTGATATCATATTTTTCATGTCACCGTGGAACTGTGGACAAAAGACAAAACAGAACACCAGCACTGGAGAATTCAGTAAAAGTAAAGGGCCCTTATCACCAGTGGCACATAAAATAGATATTGTTAGACCTATATGTTTATAGATCAATAAAAATTCAATCCTGGCCACCTTCACTTCCCCATGACACGACCTAAGACCCATTTTAGATTCTGCTGACCTATTAGTTAAGTAAAGTTTCAAAATCTGCCTGGATGCGGAACAAAAGAAATAGCATAGGAAATATGCCTTAAATACCACCAGTGTACAATTATGGTTCTGTACATCAGGATGGAAGGAAGATCTTGCTGAGATTTCTTAGCTATTGTGAAGGGAAAGGTCCTAGCAAAAGAAAATGATGTTTTTTTTATCCACCACTTCAAGCATGAGGATGGAAGTGAAGGCAGTCATTGAATCTCTAAAAAAAAATGAAAATATATTTACCACAGAAAACATAATGTATTACAGAAGGTTCAAAATGAACATTTGTGGCCTGGGTTGATACCATCGGAGTGTCAACATTACTGGTACTGGCATGGATATGCTTCAGTGGACACACAGGAGTGCAAGGTAATGAAAAAGAAATTTTTGACTACAAAAGTGAAAATTGTAGAAAAACAAACAAAGGACAAAGCAAACATTCTGAAGACTGAATAAATTCTGTTGGAAGATAGGATATAACCTTGCATGAATTTGAATTTAAGTGAGGATCCAGCAAGAAAGAATGCATGAGAGGAACAGTATGATGTGTGTACAACCAGTGTCCTACTGGAACAGTCAGCATCTACACTTTAATACATTTGCTGCGGGAGATGAATTATCTTTCGATATGCTCAATGATGCTGATTCTTGAATCAGTAATGGGTAAAGCGCACAATAATGATGATAAAATGGCAGTTAAGTCTGCAAAATGAGGAAAGTGCATATGCCGTATCATATGTATATGGAAAATAAATTCTGCCTTAACAAGGTTATGAACCCAGGACAGCAGGCCCTATAAGTTAACTCTTTGAGTCAAAAGGAATGCATCATATGTTCATAGATTCCTACCTAGAAGCCCAATGAACGCAAGATGCGCCGATTTTATATCTCTCTTGACTACCCCTTGGGCCTGCGATGCTAAACCCCCTGGGACTCAAAGAGTTAATAAACAAACCACTAAGCTATTTCTACTCTCAACACCGTTAATTTAACTCTGCAAGCTAAATTTATATTTTTTCTGAGTATCTCTCTACAATGAGATTTATCCTGCTTCTTCTTGACTTCCTCTTTTATTGCTTTTGGTGTCGAGTAATAAGATTCTTTATCTGAATTACCTGAGTGTGACCCTAATTAGATTTGAGAACTAAATTCCTTTAGCAAACTTGTTTATTTTTAAGGACTCTTACCTGTTTCTTAGTAAAAGAGAAACTATCCTGAGCTCCAGTCTCCGTGTGAGCATCTGGCATCAATCTGAAATTGTTTATTGCTACTCTCCAGCTGAGGTCAGTGGCTGCAAATACAGTCAAGTAGCTACATTTTAGTTAAACTGTCTCCATATTGAATGCAGCCATCACTCTGAGAAGCAGCATATTTGGACTCTGCATCATGACAATGCCCCTGCTAACAGATCTGTCATTACAAATATATTTTTGGTGAAACATAAGATTCTATTGCTTCCACGCCCTGCATACTCTCCAGTTCTGGCTCATTGTGACTTTTTCTTGATCCCCATTTAGGAGGGAAAATAAAAGACCCACTGTTCCCCCTAACAAGCATCTCGTAAAAAGTGACTAATTAAGGGTGTATTCTCTGAAGTTGGAGTACATCTGCCTGTCTGGAGTTGCCTTGAGAAAATGCTTTCTGTTTTATTTAATAGGTAGCATTAGGGTTGCACTATTCAGATTTCTCAAATGATGTACCAATGTTGTGACCGACGATAGCTATGAAAGGCTCAGAAGAGCTTACTCTACACAGGAACATTTTATGGAAGGTAAGCTATGGTGGAGGTCAGAATCCTTTCCTCGACTGAGACAGATCAGAGCTGGATGTACGTAAACTATTCACACCAGAAGCTGTATCTTTGGTCTATGTCAAAATGTGATCTGAAATACAGAATCCCTGCCAGGGATGAGTTGAGTACCACAAGCTAGCTTAATCTGCTTACTATCGCTATAGCTATTCTTCTACCATTCATGCTAAGCATTCTGCCTGTGGATTCTTTCAGAAAAACGGTGCAATCCCATGTGGGAGCTAGCTATCATTGCCTACTCCTGTTTCCTATCCTATAGTAACACCCCGCTCATGTATAATATATGTATGTAAACATACTGTTATGTAATTGTTTGATTCAATTTTGTTTATTCATGAGACATGTATGAGTGTTAAAATTATTATGAAATCTCCCACAAGCATGTTTGTCGGCATGGAGATATAAATTACATTATAATCGATAGGGAAGGGAACAAGTGTTAATTCACTATCATCATATCTAATGGAGGGTTTTAAAACTTTAATTTGATCATAAACTTAGAATCATTGTTGTGATTTAAATCAGATTAACTCATGGACAGTGAGATCCTAAGTGAATTCGATTGTACTGTAACAGTTTTAGACTTGTAATGTATTATGGTTACCCCGAGAGGAAAGATGGATTAAGACACACACTGATTAAAAAAAATTATATTTGCATCCAATAATTTCCACCCAGAGGATTATCGTGTGTCAGTATGTGTACCCCGAATAACCAACAGTTATATTTATCCGTCTACACCTCTTTCCTCAGTACTTTGTTTCTAGTATGTGTGTATACTTTTACACATAGTTTTAACTAGAATGATTGAGTGAGTAAATATTACAGTATCTATCAGTATGTGAGTGTCTGCTCAAGTATGTGTTATGTTAACTACACCAAATGATATAGAATGAGATATGTCTATACTTTCATCCCTTTAACAGTGATGAAAATGCATCAGAATCATATAACTGCTTTGATATTACAACACCCAAGGATACTAAATGAGATCCATTCTCTCATCTCAGCTCATAATGTATGAGTGTAAGCCATTGTATGAACTTGTCCCTAGTATTCACATTCATTATAATGTGAAACCTTGTAGATTGAATTATCTGCTGATGTATGATTATGTGTTTGAAAGATGAAACCACCTACAAGCAGTGAGAATGTACAAGGGATAATATTTGATAATGCACCTTTCTGGGTGATTAAGATTGGCATCATGATGACAGGCCATGTGTAACTGAGATATTTGAGATAAGGATAAAATATGTATCTCCTCAAGTTCAAAGAGTGTTCTGTATTCAGTACCACTGTACTATGAGAAATGTCATTACCCTCCTGAGAACCCATGTTATGTATGGGAGTATGCAGTAACACATTTATAAGGATAGAATGCAGGATGGCCTCTGGGGAACAAGTGCACCAGGACTGTAAGTACATAGACTGTATATCTTCAGTTCCAGGAAGATGTCTTGTTGTCAAGCCTGATCTTGAAGTGTCAACATCCTGTATATGTGAATCAGTGGTGGCTGATAAAGCAGCTGGAAGGGGTCAAAACATCAGTGAAGTGGCATGTCCAGCCACTCAGAAAGAAAACTTTCAGCAAGTGGTCCAATGATTATATTTTTTCAGTTTATGGTGAAATACCAAAACTATTCTTTCCAATTGTTATCACAATATAAATTGTGAATTTAAATATCTAATTTTGGAGACTATTTGAAGTGTAATATTAAATGTTTATGTCAGTGAACACAACTAGTAGTTTAAGATAATATATCTAAACTTCAACTCCAGGAGATCTGTTGTCAGCGGTCACCGAACCCTTCTCCTTTAACCAGTTAAGGTTAAACTGGTGGGCAACAAACAAAATATAAGCAAAACTAACTTTACAAAATATTATTTGACAAAGATGACTGGACAGTCATGTTAGCTAAAATCACTCCATACCTGTGACTGCAGATGAAACATTTTCTAAGCAAATGTAAACATTTTTCATATGTTTCTATGCAGAGCAGATAGTATTTGATTTATGATACAAGTCTCTCAAATCAAAAACAAAAATACACATAAAAAACTTGAATTATGCGATAGTGAATAATTTAATTAGCAAAGAGAACTGGCTGCCCACATCAGCAAAAGACACTGACCCATATGGCTGATCTTTGGATGTACAAGAGACACCCCTTGTCACGGCATCTGACATATCCTCAACTTGCCAGACATGGTCACTAGACACAAAATAGCCTAGGTGGGTGCTTACCTGGGTGCTGCTGCTGACACAAAACACACTTTGAACAGCATATCAAGGTGAGCAAAGGTAAGCACCTAAAAATGGATGGTTCTGGATGATGAAAGCTGAGGATACCATTAGCCAAATTTTTCCCTGGAGCATGTCAGGCTCAGCTGAGGGTTTACATACTAAATATAATGCCATAGCACATTCAGGTAATAATCCTCCTGGGCAGGTATTACAGAGACTGGGGTCAAACAGCCATTGATGCACAAACAAGGTATATTCATCTATATAAATGGCTCAGTGTTTCATGGGATGTGGTCTGGGTGGGCATACACAGCTAAGATGAACGGAAAGACGGTAAAATAAGAAAGTCAGGCATTCAGTTCAACTTCTTCTACCTAGCATGATGATGGGGGATAGCAGCTGCATGGCCCGTGGAACAGCAAGCAGCTCAAGCATTAACAGTGGCAGAATCAATAGACATGCTTAAGGAGATCCACACTGGCAAACTTCACCTAGAATGAATTGACAGCTTCCAGAATTCCCATTTTAAACAACTATCATGGCTATACACACCAGGATATGCTGAGGTGAAAGGAGATGAAAGACCTAACTATGTCTGCAGTGGTTAGTTGAGAAAAAAAAATATGGACAGGGAAGACATATTGAATGTGTAGCATTCCAGGGATGTTGAGACAAAGGAATCAGAGATTATGGACTGCCTGTTTTTTGAAACTAAAAGAAGGAATCAGGTTTGAACAACAGATTCATGGCACTGTGTGCCTGTTTTAGGTATTAAACTAAAAGAGTGAACAATTCAAGAAGAGGTTTGAGGTTTGAACAACAGATCAACATCATGGCACATGGGTAGTAACTGATAAGTGCTCCGTTCTTCTTAAGAAGCTTAGAACAGTGCACAGGCTCTATAGCACCGGCAAAGATCCTGAAATACTTCTGGTAGATTTTTTAACGCCAAATTTTGCCCGGGCAGCACCGTTAGGCTACTCTTTTTGATTTCTAACTGCCAAGGAATTTTTGTATGTGCGCAACAATGCACACGGGCATCCTACCTCACTACCCAGAGACCAGGGGGAATTACTAGAAGTCCAAGTCTATGTAAAAAATAATTCTAGCCCCTACCGGGAATCGAACATGGAACCTCTATCACTCGAGGCTGACACCATGCCTTGGGACCACACAGCCCCAATTCAAGAAGAAAAGTGCTTAAAAACAAACTTAAAAAACTAGAACTCCATTTATAGCTGAATCCTAACTAACGCTAACTAACGAAATACAGGAAAACCTCTTATTTGAGAATATCCGTCAATCTCCTTCAAAAACAAAGTAGCTTACATTTTTCTTGAGTATTCTGTTGTGTCATTTTTACTTTGGCCTTCAGTGTTATAAATGCAACATAGTAGTTTTTGAAGCGCACTTCTCCAATCTGAAAAAACGCAAAATCTGTTGAATCAGAAAACCTTGCTAATTTTTAAAACAATCACTACTACATGTTCTTTAGATGTATGCAGAGCCAATCCTGCTGTATGGAAGAGAATCTGCACAGTTAAGAAATTATTGAAAAATTCTGCGAAAGCTACGAAGATGAATATATGGTTTTATAAAACAATGGTTATAGCAACATGGACAGATAAAAAATTAAATGAAGATGTCGTGAAAGAAATTAACTATTTCATAGAGTAACATAAAGTACCTTTAAAAAAATATTACCTTTTTTCAAAATTTGGTTAAAAATAAAAACATTGTTATAATTCTCCATGGCTCTGCCCTGATAAATTTTAGGAATAAACAAAAATAATAAACTATATTTTTAAAGGGTTACAAACTGAGCCTGCGGACCCATCTTATATTCGGCCTCTAAACTTTCATACTCCCAGTGTTTATTGTTAACAAAGCATGTTATATTCATATATAAAAATACATAATATGAGTATAAAGTAAAAACACAAAAGCATGGATAGCAAAATGTATACATTTAAATATACATACATGTGTACATAGACACACAAGCACTACACACATAAATAAAAAAAAAAATGCCTTTCCATGCCTTTAGGTATATAGGGCTAGACCTATATTTTATAGACCAATCGGCACAAGATGGGTTATGTGGTCAAAATCACGCTAGCTGCCTTTACTTCCCGGGACTACACCCAGTACCCACTCAAAGCTGGGTTGGCCAGAGAGTGAACCCAAGACCTTCCAATCATGTAGCGCATCTAGCCGCTCTGCCATGGCGACTCCCACACACATGAATACATACACACTAATTCATACAAAAGTATTCGGATATACACGTACACACACTCACTCAGACATACACATGCACTCATATACATACTCATATCTCATGATACACACTCTCTCATACACAAACATACCCATGTGTACACATACATACACTCATATAAACAGAAACTTTGACACACTTATATATATATACTCATACTCTCACTTACATATTCACACATACATCCAGGAGCGGCTGGCCAAATGGTTAGAACACTGGGCTCTCAAGCGGGAGACCCAGCTTCGAATCCTTGGTAAGGCTGGGGATTTTTTCTGTTGGGGGCAAAACTAAATCCCCACCTGCACAGACGTGGAGACAGCACTAGACATGCAGCCGTAAATCCTCAGGCTCAAAGACACCTACCCCCCCCCCCCACCCCCCTTACACTGCAAAAGTAGTATAATAAAGGCAGTAATTGGCAGTTTACATACAACAACACTCTGATCCATAAATATTTATGCATGCATAGACACACTAATGCATACATAACCCACTCATTCACACCACACATGTATATCACATGTGCATACTTATACCTACACACACTCTCAAACAAGCAAGCACTCAAAATGCACAAAAAGAATTTATCAACCGCAGCAAAAGGAGATGATCCACATTCTGTGACTATGTTATAAACAGTGGAAATTTGAAGCATGTCATGACATCAGGAAGGGGATGAGAGAACGAACAAAGGAATGAACTTCATTTTTAAAGGGTTAAGAATTGGCCACTCTCCCTCCATTCTTACATCATTTTATTAACACATCAAGTAATAAGCATTATCAATAGCATCAAAATATTCAGTATAAGCATGGGAATGTCTACATTTCTGACTACAATAAACTGTAGTGGTTGTAATAAATCTAGGGAAAATGAGCCCTATTTCTTAAATATTTCTCTTTTTGTCTTCTATCATCATCATCATAAATCACTTTTGCTGTTAAGCTATGTGGGGAGGAATAATTTGGGATCCAGTGCATGTTGGCTGCCACTGGCTATTGTCATGCCGTGAAGGCGTAGAGTGTCTTTAATGTTGTCAATCCATATTTTATGTGGTTGTCCTCTTGCTCTTGTAGCTGATCTTCTGAGATGTAGTGATTGTGATGGTATTTGATCATGCTGCATTCTAACGAGATGGCCAAACCACTTGATCTGCTGTTTCTTGATTAATCTAGTACAAAGTGTCGTTTCCACAATTTGCCTGATAGTTTCATTATTCACTTGATCTCGGATGATTAGGTTGGCTGCTTTTCTCAGGCACCTCATCACGCAGGTGGTAATATTGCGTATATGGGCTTTAGATAGTGTCCATGTTTGGCACTGGTAGCTTAATGTTGGAATTAATATGCTATTAATAATCTGTCTCTTTGCACTCATAGTTATGCTTGGATGTCTTATTAATGGTGACAATTGGTATATAAGTGCACTTGCTTTCATACATCTGGTTTCTATGTATCTGTCAATTCTACCATCTTCTGTGATCATACTTCTTAGATATTCAACATATTTAAAGCTATAGATAAAGACATGATTGATCTGATGACACCATTGCTTGGCTGAAAGAACATGTGTGCTTCAATTATACTGTTTTAAAAAAAAATAGCTGGCTTTTTAGGCATATGGATGTATGGACAGTAGCATTATGACTTCTACAATATAATACTGTAGTATTATGACTGCTACAGTAAGACATGGCAGTATTATGACTGCTACAGTAGGACATTGTAATATTATTACTGCTACAGTAGGATATGAGAAAATCAGTATTGCTACAGTAGGACATGGTAGTATCATTACTGCTACAGTAGGACATGGCAGTATCATTACTGCTACTGCAGGACATGAAAGTATTATTGCTGTTGAAGGATATATGGCAGTATTGTGACTGCTACAGTAGGACCTGGCAGTATTGTGACTGCTACAGTAGGACATGGCAGTATTGTGACTGCTACAGTAGGACCTGGCAGTATTGTGACTACTACAGTAGGACATGGCAGTATTGTGACTGCTACAGTAGGACATGGCAGCATTGTGACTGCTACAGTATGACACAGCATTATTGTGACTACTACAGTAGGACATGGCAGTATTGTGACTACTACAGTAGGACATGGCAGTATTGTGACTACTACAGTAGGACATGGCAGTATTGTGACTGCTACAGTAGGACATGGCAGTATTGTGACTACTACAGTAGGACATGGCAGTATTGTGACTACTACAGTAGGACATGGCAGTATTGTGACTACTACAGTAGGACCTGGCAGTATTGTGACTACTACAGTAGGACATGGCAGTATTGTGACTACTACAGTAGGACATGGCAGTATTGTGACTGCTACAGTAGGACATGGCAGTATTGTGACTACTACAGTAGGACATGGCAGTATTGTGACTACTACAGTAGGACATGGCAGTATTGTGACTGCTACAGTAGGACATGGCAGTATTGTGACTACTACAGTAGGACATGGCAGTATTGTGACTACTACAGTAGGACATGGCAGTACTGTGACTGCTACAGTAGGACATGGCAGTATTGTGACTGCTACAGTAGGACCTGGCATATTGTGACTACTACAGTAGGACATGGCAGTACTGTGACTACTACAGTAGGACATGGCAGTATTGTGACTACTACAGTAGGACATGGCAGTATTGTGACTACTACAGTAGGACATGGCAGTATTGTGACTACTACAGTAGGACATGGCAGTATTGTGACTGCTACAGTAGGACATGGCAGTATTGTGACTACTACAGTAGGACATGGCAGTACTGTGACTACTACAGTAGGACATGGCAGTATTGTGACTACTACAGTAGGACATGGCAGTATTGTGACTACTACAGTAGGGCCTGGCAGTATTGTGACTGCTACAGTAGGACATGGCAGTATTGTGACTACTACAGTAGGACATGGCAGTATTGTGACTACTACAGTAGGACATGGCAGTATTGTGACTACTACAGTAGGACATGGCAGTATTGTGACTGCTACAGTAGGACATGGCAGTATTGTGACTACTACAGTAGGACATGGCAGTATTGTGACTACTACAGTAGGACATGGCAGTATTGTGACTGCTACAGTAGGAGTTAGCAGTATTGTGACTGCTACAGTAGGACATGGCAGTATTGTGACTGCTACAGTAGGACATGGCAGTATTGTGACTACTACAGTAGGACATGGCAGTATTGTGACTACTACAGTAGGACATGGCAGTATTGTGACTACTACAGTAGGACATGGCAGTATTGTGACTGCTACAGTAGGACCTGGCATATTGTGACTACTACAGTAGGACATGGCAGTACTGTGACTACTACAGTAGGACATGGCAGTATTGTGACTACTACAGTAGGACATGGCAGTATTGTGACTGCTACAGTAGGACCTGGCATATTGTGACTACTACAGTAGGACATGGCAGTACTGTGACTACTACAGTAGGACATGGCAGTATTGTGACTACTACAGTAGGACATGGCAGTATTGTGACTACTACAGTAGGGCCTGGCAGTATTGTGACTGCTACAGTAGGGCCTGGCAGTATTGTGACTGCTACAGTAGGACATGGCAGTATTGTGACTGCTACAGTAGGACATGGCAGTATTGTGACTACTACAGTAGGACATGGCAGTATTGTGACTACTACAGTAGGGCCTGGCAGTATTGTGACTGCTACAGTAGGACATGGCAGTATTGTGACTACTACAGTAGGACATGGCAGTATTGTGACTGCTACAGTAGGACCTGGCAGTATTGTGACTGCTACAGTAGGACCTGGCAGTATTGTGACTGCTACAGTAGGACCTGGCAGTATTGTGACTGCTACAGTAGGGCCTGGCAGTATTGTGACTGCTACAGTAGGACATGGCAGTATTGTGACTGCTACAGTAGGACATGGCAGTATTGTGACTGCTACAGTAGGACCTGGCAGTATTGTGACTGCTACAGTAGGACCTGGCAGTATTGTGACTGCTACAGTAGGACCTGGCAGTATTGTGACTGCTACAGTAGGACCTGGCAGTATTGTGACTGCTACAGTAGAACATGGCAGTATTGTGACTGCTACAGTAGGACCTGGCAGTATTGTGACTGCTACAGTAGAACATGGCAGTATTGTGACTGCTACAGTAGGACCTGGCAGTATTGTGACTGCTACAGTAGAACATGGCAGTATTGTGACTGCTACAGTAGGACCTGGCAGTATTGTGACTGCTACAGTAGAACATGGCAGTATTGTGACTGCTATAGTAGGACATGGCAGTATTGTGACTACTACAGTAGGACCTGGCAGTATTGTGACTACTACAGCAGGACATGGCAGTATTGTGACTACTACAGTAGGACATGGCAGTATTGTGACTACTACAGTAGGACATGGCAGTATTGTGACTACTACAGTAGGACATGGCAGTATTGTGACAGCTAGAGTAGGATATGGTAGTATTGTGACTGCTTCAGTAGGACAGCAGTATTATGACTGCTACAGTAGGACATTGCAGTATAATGACTGCTACAGTAGGACATGGCAGTATTGTGACTACTACAGTAGGACATGGCAGTATTGTGACTACTACAGTAGGACATGGCAGTATTGTGACTACTACAGTAGGACATGGCAGTATTGTGACTGCTACAGTAGGACATGGCAGTATTGTGACTACTACAGTAGGACATGGCAGTATTGTGACTACTACAGTAGGACATGGCAGTATTGTGACTGCTACAGTAGGAGTTAGCAGTATTGTGACTGCTACAGTAGGACATGACAGTATTGTGACTGCTACAGTAGGACATGGCAGTATTGTGACTACTACAGTAGGACATGGCAGTATTGTGACTACTACAGTAGGACATGGCAGTATTGTGACTACTACAGTAGGACATGGCAGTATTGTGACTGCTACAGTAGGACCTGGCATATTGTGACTACTACAGTAGGACATGGCAGTACTGTGACTACTACAGTAGGACATGGCAGTATTGTGACTACTACAGTAGGACATGGCAGTATTGTGACTGCTACAGTAGGACCTGGCATATTGTGACTACTACAGTAGGACATGGCAGTACTGTGACTACTACAGTAGGACATGGCAGTATTGTGACTACTACAGTAGGACATGGCAGTATTGTGACTACTACAGTAGGGCCTGGCAGTATTGTGACTGCTACAGTAGGGCCTGGCAGTATTGTGACTGCTACAGTAGGACATGGCAGTATTGTGACTGCTACAGTAGGACATGGCAGTATTGTGACTACTACAGTAGGACATGGCAGTATTGTGACTACTACAGTAGGGCCTGGCAGTATTGTGACTGCTACAGTAGGACATGGCAGTATTGTGACTACTACAGTAGGACATGGCAGTATTGTGACTGCTACAGTAGGACATGGCAGTATTGTGACTGCTACAGTAGGACATGGCAGTATTGTGACTGCTACAGTAGGACCTGGTAGTATTGTGACTGCTACAGTAGGACATGGTAGTATTGTGACTGCTACAGTAGGACATGGTAGTATTGTGACTGCTACAGTGACATGGCAGTATTGTGAGCTACAGTAGGACCTGGCAGTATTGTGACTGCTACAGTAGGACCTGGCAGTATTGTGACTGCTACAGTAGGACCTGGCAGTATTGTGACTGCTACAGTAGGACCTGGCAGTATTGTGACTGCTACAGTAGGAACATGGCAGTATTGTGACTGCTACAGTAGACCTGGCAGTATTGTGACTGCTACAGTAGGACATGGCAGTATTGTGACTGCTACAGTAGGACATGGCAGTATTGTGACTGCTACAGTATGGCAGTATTGTGACTGCTACAGTAGGTGGCAGTATTGTGACTGCTACAGTAGAACATGGCAGTATTGTGACTGCTACAGTAGGACATGGCAGTATTGTGACTACTACAGTAGGACCTGGCAGTATTGTGACTACTACAGTAGGACATGGCAGTATTGTGACTACTACAGTAGGACATGGCAGTATTGTGACTACTACAGTAGGACATGGCAGTATTGTGACAGCTAGAGTAGGATATGGTAGTATTGTGACTGCTTCAGTAGGACAGCAGTATTATGACTGCTACAGTAGGACATTGCAGTATAATGACTGCTACAGTAGGACATTGCAGTATAATGACTGCTACAGTAGGACATGGCAGTATTGTGACTACTACAGTAGGACCTGGCAGTATTGAGACTACTACAGTAGGACATGGCAGTATTGTGACTACTACAGTAGGACATGGCAGTATTGTGACTACTACAGTAGGACCTGGCAGTATTGTGACTACTACAGTAGGACATGGCAGTATTGTGACTACTACAGTAGGACATGGCAGTATTGTGACTACTACAGTAGGACCTGGCAGTATTGTGACTACTACAGTAGGACCTGGCAGTATTGTGACTGCTACAGTAGGACTGGCAGTATAATGACTGCTACAGTAGGACCTGGCAGTATTGTGACAGCTAGAGTAGGATATGGTAGTATTGTGACTGCTACAGTAGGACATGGCAGTATTATGACAGCTAGAGTAGGATATGGTAGTATTGTGACTGCTACAGGAGTATATGGTAGTATTGTGACTGCTTCAGTAGGACAGCAGTATTATGACTGCTACAGTAGGACATGGCAGTACTGTGACTACTACAGTAGGACACAGCAGTATTGTGACTACTACAGTAGGACACAGCCCAATTATTATTGACGAATAACAAATATATTAAATAGTTACAAATGAAAATAATGGATGTTACTGTTACAGATGAAAATAATGGATGTTACAAATGAAAATAATGGATGTTACAGATGAAAATAATGGATGTTACAGATGAAAATAATGGATGTTACAAATGAAAATAATGGATGTTACAGATGAAAATAATGGATGTTACAGATGAAAATAATGGATGTTACAAATGTAAATAATGGATGTTACAGATGAAAATAATGGATGTTACAAATGAAAATAATGGATGTTACAGATGAAAATAATGGATGTTACAGATGAAAATAATGGATGTTACAAATGAGAAAAAAAGACATTACCTCGGTTGGGAAAATCACATCAATTATCTTGCAGCCACTGTTTGTCGATTTACTGTCTATGGTCAGAGTAACCGGCGGTTTTATGGTACAACTAAGCTGTCTTTCATTCATGGCCAAAATATATATACATATATATATATATATATAAATTTAAATCAAAGTAATGTTACTGCATAAATAATCTCTTTTCCTCTCTAGTTCCTCTCATTAGCGTCCCAGACAACACAGTTTTGTGATAGTTATCCCCCTTGTACACATTTCCGGAGACGTTCGTAGTATTACTACTAGTAAAGTAAAAATTAGGAACCCTTTTGTGCGAATTATGCTCCTAGATTCTTGTTTTGTTTCTTTTTGAGAGCACTCGGTGACTGATGAGATAACAACAAAAAGGCCGCATTTACTCCAGAAGTCTTCCTTATACAAATTATAGGCCAGGTAGACACAGAACAAGATCCGTGTTTTGCCGGATGGCGCTAAAACCTGGGCTCAGGCCCCTAGTGCCAACAGCAAACAATTGTAGAATCGGGACTGAGCTCCGCCCTCCTCGATGTTTTCTTTGTGACGCCGCATCTGCCCAGTTTGTGCTGACCCGAACCTAAGATATTCGGACCAGCAAGCGAGTATAAACAGTGCATTACCTTCTTCTTCTTCTTCTGCGTTCGACATCAGTCATGCTAAACATTGAGTCCCGTCTCGGTCACAAACAGTAATATGATTGTCGCCACCGGTCCCCCATAGCTTCTCTTTCAATGTGGCTCCCTTGGGCTAGATCCACAGTCTTTGCTGGGAGAGGTAAGGGCAGTACTGTAGTATGTGCTCAGGGGTCTGTCTTTCTGCTCCACAATCACAGGCAGCAGATTCTTTTATGCCTATCCTGTACAGGTGTGCTCGAAGACCACAGTGTCCAGTCAGAAGTCTAAAAATTGTTTGTTCTTTTCTGTTGAGTTTGTTTATGTTGTCACTCTCTGGTCTGTAATCTCCACTCTGCCTTCTCCACTCCCGCTTTAAAGACTGCTTTAGCGCTGTTTTGGTTTCCTTGTAGCTGTGTGGTGGATGAGGTTGTGGAAGATTACTCCCAGCTTTTGCCAACTCATCTGCTCTTTCATTTCCTTGAATACCACAGTGGGCTGCTATCCACTGCAAGGCCAGTTCTGCTTCCTTGGAGAGTCAGCCAATGTTGGTCCTTAGATCTGCAATTAGTTTGTCTTGTTTTGTGCTTGATAGTGCTTGGAGAACAGACAATGAGTCACTAGGTATAACAATTTTGTGCCCTCTGTGTTCTTGATTGATGAGACGTTGGACTGCAGAAAGGAGGGCAGTTGCCTCAGCTCTGAAGTTAGTGCAGATGTCACCTGCTGGTACTGCTGGTAGAGAGAGAGAGAGAGTTTCTTCTCTACTGCTAGGGGGTTTAATGTATATTCCAAACCCCCCCCCCCCCCCTTTCTGACTACATCTATAGCAGAGCCGTCGGTGAAAACCTGAGTCCAAGTGGTGTTTGGATACTTCTTATCAAGCATAGCAAGAGCCAGGGTTCTCTGTCGTGTCTTCGTCTGTGCATCTTTTAAAGTGATCCCTGGTACCTTTAGGACTACATTTGCCTTCTCTGACTTGGTAACTGCGTTACCTCCGTCCCTAACGTTGCAGTATTTGGCGTAAAGGGACTAGGGACTATGGGAGCCAACTGTTCTTTAAAGTTGTCAATGTCCTTCTTTATGTGAATTTCAGTTAAATTTGAAACTTTTCACAAACTTGCACGTACGCCGAGAATTCTTTTCCCTCCAATTCTTGCCACGGCTAGTCCTTCAGCCTGTGCTATGTTGTGGGGATTTTCGCTTGCCTGGGAAGTTATGTTGTTGTGGGTCTCCTTAGGGCGCCATAGGCGCCTGTTTACAAGTAAGAAATACTTCAGCGGGAAACGCCGAAGGTTTGATTATTCCTGAGTATCGAAACTGTAATGTTTTTGTATCTTCGGCTCCTTAGCTGTGCCCCCCCCCCCCCCCCCCCCCCCGAGAGAGAGAGAAATAGAAGTACAAAAAAATCCCAGTTTCAATGTTTATGAAACGTCGGGCAAGTAGCAGGAAGTGAAAATAATCATGCAATGAGCGATGACAACACGAGAAAAAAAAAGACAACAGTTAAACTGTTGAAAATAAGGAATATATGGCATCTCCCACAGCATAGGACAGGCCCTGCGACCGGCCGCAGTATAAATGGGAGGGAGAGAAACTTTCGTTGTGTGGGCAAGTTTATGATGAGCACCTATAATTTATACTTGGATCTCGAAAGTAATTCTAGTGGCAATGTGACAGTGATTTGCTGATTAAAAAATTGACATCATAGCACACTGGGCATACCCATAGGTGCTCCCTCTCCCGCAGCTAATGTCTCAAGGTGTAGAGGCTAAATGTCCCTGCAGTACACTGCTTGTTAACTCTTTGTTCTATTCCTACCATACATCACTCCAAGCCTGATCCAAACATAATTCCTCATTCACACATTCTGAGACATGCCATTTCAAATAACCTCCTGTCTTCTATCAGCTTCTATTCTATGTGGTTTTCAGAACATATCTTTTGTTCACTGTGCGTGTTTCTGTAACTATCGCATTTGTAGCCAAAAAATCATCTCTTTCGTTTCTCGCACTCCTACGTTACCTAGACGGTATATCCACACGAATCCGTTTAATTTCGGGATGCCGCGAGCGTATGCAGAGGGTGCTGTGACAATAATCAAGAATTGTTCAAAATCTGATTGAGATCATCGAAGACAGCAGTTGAAAACAGAAATAACATTAAGGAAGCCAAGCAGAGTTCTGGACGCAGGTGTATTCAGAAAACAATGCTATTGGCAAGGCTGCAATGCAATTTCAACGTACGCTTACATTGAAAAACAGATACAGGTGCAACCTTCAAGGGATCTGAGAGTAGAATTAACTAAACTTCCCTTAAACATAAAGCAAATCGTGCAAAATTCATCCAAACAGTTTCATTCATTGCATTAAAGACAAATGAATATTAAAATTTTCACCTTTTTGTTTCTTTTCAGAAGTATTCAAACCGCTCTAAGAGTAATTGTGACGCGAAAGTTTTTGTTTGCCTGACAAGAGTGCCGCGGAGAAAAAAATTTGAGAAACACTGGTCTATCAGATTTTCTGGTTTTTCCCATTGGTTAAAACACGACCGGCTCCAGCTGAAAGCTGGTTCTGCAACGTCCTGTAAAGGATACGCAAATAACATATTGTGCAAGACTTATATATTTTTTTAACTGACTAAACGGAATTAGGTGGACGTTATGGATAGCCACCACCTGCTGCCTTTACTTTCCAGGACTTTACCTCGATACCCATTTTAGACAGTTTCTTCTTCTTTGCGTTCACCGTCTGTAATCTCCGGCGGAAACTTCAAGTTGTTCGTCCACCTCTAGACCTTAGTCTTGTTCCAGAACCTGAATGCCGCTTCCGCATCCTTTTTACAGAACTGGCTTACTCGTATGCAGACTATTGGTTCCTTGCCTCTCGGGCAGATGCACTTTGACTTCGAAGAAGCCCACAGTGGACTCTTACGACATGCTTTTGTTTTATCATAGTCGACGTCATTGCACATAATACACTCCCATGTTGCCGCTGCCAACATCCAGCCCGCCAGTTTTACCACGTCAACATTCAGTCCGCCAGTGTCAGCATTCATTTTGCCACTCACAACGCTGAGTTAGCCACTCACAGTATTCAGTTAGTCACTCCCAATATTCAGTTTGCTACTCCTAACATTCAGTAAGTCGCTCCCAGTGTTCAGTTAGCCGCTCCCAACGTTCAGTTAGCCGCTCCCAATGTTCAGTTAGCCGCTCCCAATGTTCAGTTAGCCACTCCCAATGTTCAGTTAGCCACTCCCAATGTTCAGTTAGCCACTCCCAACGTTCACTTAGCAACTCCCAATGTTCAGTTAGCCGCTCCCAACGTTCAGTTAGCCACTCCCAACGTTCACTTAGCCACTCCCAATGTTCAGTTAGCCGCTCCCAACGTTCAGTTAGCCGCTCCCAATGTTCAGTTAGCCGCTCCCAACGTTCAGTTAGCCGCTCCCAATGTTCAGTTAGCCGCTCCCAACGTTCAGTTAGCCGCTCCTAATGTTCAGTTAGCCGCTCCCAACGTTCAGTTAGCCGCTCCCAATGTTCAGTTAGCCACTCCCAATGTTCAGTTAGCCACTCCCAACGTTCACTTAGCCACTCCCAATGTTCAGTTAGCCACTCCCAACGTTCACTTAGCCACTCCCAATGTTCAGTTAGCCACTCCCAATGTTCAGTTAGCCACTCCCAACGTTCAGTTAGCCGCTTCCAGTTTTCAGTTAGGCACTCCCAACTTTCAGTTAGCCACTCCCAATGTTCAGTTAGGCACTCCCAATGTTCAGTTAGCCGCTCCCAATGTTCAGTTAGCCGCTCCTAGTGTTCAGTTAGCCGCTCCCAACATTCAGCCCGCCAGTGTCAACATTCAGTTAGCCACGCCCAGTATTCAGTTATTCACGCCCAATATCCAGTTTTGCCACTCCCGGCATTCAGTCACCGTGTGTCAACTTCCAGTTAATCTGTTCCAGTACTCATCTAATCTGTCCTACTATTGATTGAGCCGGTCCCAGTATTCAAGAGCCAGTAGTAACATAATTCACTGGGTAATATTGTTAACATTCTACCCCACCGCAAACTTTATAACATTGCAACAAGTATGAAGGAATCCACGCCCAGAATTTATTCCCTTCACTTATTTATGTTAACAATTTTCGGAACATTTGTTTGGTTGGCTATCGTTGCCGGTTTTTCCCATCCGGGATGCCTGCCGAAAATGTGATAACCTCTGAAAGTGTGATAATCCCTGAGAAATTGATAATCCCTGAGAAATTTAGCTTCTCTTCATGGGTGACAAAACAACGTGACAAAGCTCCAGTAAAGGTTAATATAACCTTTTCATGCGAACGCGCTTTGTAATGCCGGGTTGCTGGGTTTGATCCCAGCTGCGGACAATTTGTTTTGCGTTGGTTTCGACAATGGTACCGAGAGCTGACAGTTCAAAAGCAATGACAAACTATTGAACGTAAAATTTGCCTAGAAAAACCACAACAGTCAAA